ACCTGCACCTGATCCCACCTGCAGAGAGAGCGAGAGAGAGTTGGAGCAAGTTGGTCATAGGAATATAAAATACACCAATATATGTAGATCACACTACTAATGAATCACTTGGAATTCGGTTCTACTGGTTGTGTCAACAATATCCCCGTATATCATGTTTTTAAGTTTCAGTTTTATGAGTAATATGAAGGAAACTACAACCTGAATTCTATTATACAACCCTGCTTCGTAAAATGACAAACCATGTATCCTTGTATCACAGCCACAACATTTTTATTGAATATTTGAAATGAGTATATGAATATTAATATATTATTTATCATTTTAAAATTATTCACATAAAGCAACACAATATGAATTTAACTGCAGATCTGAGTCTATTTTGTATTCTTTTTTCTAATGGCCACTGTCTCAACAATGCTATGGCACTAATTAAACACTAGCATCCTCCTGATCCTACTTCCATTTAATCTCTGGCTCTGTTTTAAAGCTAAAGTGAAGCCCATATGAGATGACCTAACGCATTCATTGGTACCAACCATGCCATGGTAGCCTGTTGGGAAGGGCACTGCATGATCATTCATTTTAATTTAAAGGGGGGGAATTTAGATGCTCTATTCCACTCTAGGAAGTAAGCGTTAAATTAGATCACATTACATCAATGTTTCACTTCACCATTAAATGTACCTGCGTACAGGGAAGAAGAAACCCCAAGTTTAAATCTGGACTTTTCAAGTACCATTTGAGTACAATTAGAGGGCCAATAATAGTTTACATATGCCAGTCTAGCTTAGCACAGTACTATACAAAGACTTGTATGGGTCACCTATGTGTGTGTGTCTCTGTTTGTGTGTGTGTGTGTGTACCTCCTCAGGAGCTCCACTGCCAGGAAAGAAGTTTCCATCATCGTAGCGGTGGAGGGAGATGTAGAGGACGTTGGGGTCGCTGTAGAAGGCCTGCTGGGTGCCGTTGCCATGGTGAATGTCCTGTGGTGACAGGTCACAGTGGCATGAGAGAGAAGGTCAATGGTTGATACAGGCATTCTTAACACACTGCGGTCAACACATTACCCACAATTCTCTTTGCCTGTGCCCTGCACAGAATAATTGGCAATTTACGTGAGGTGTCACATTGCAACAGCAGTGAACTTTTTATACATACAAAAGGAGCAGTGCAGTCAAAACAAAGGTGATGTATAATCTATACTAATGAAGGGTAACTGGAAAGGTGGAGTATTTACGCCCTCTAGCAGCTTGCCGCTGTGGAAGTAAGATTGGCTCTCTGAGTTCAGTGAGTCACGCCAACTTCTCTCTGTGATCTGCCCAAATGTTAAACTGGGCCAAATGGGACCAATGAGCCAGGTGGGTGCTGTTTATTCACAACAGTCTGAACAGGAAATGCAGAGGACAGAATGAATCAGCTGTAAATTACACTTAATGGTGCACACCAACTCATATTTCTAATTCAGTGAGTTTTAAAAAATAAACTGGAGATCCACGTAAAATGAACAAGATAACCAAGGAAACATTCAAGATTCGTATGTGGAAAATGACTCAGCCTTGGTTTTCATTAAAGCTGCAGTAGGTCAGTTTTAGAAAAGTCAATTTTTGTCATATTGTCTGAAATTTTCACTGTATCCTGAAAGTAGTACATGAGAAAGATAATCTGTGAAAAAATCAGGTTCCTCTGGCTCCTCCTAATGGTAATGGGGGGGTCTGTGACAGGTGACAGACCGTGTGTGTGTCGGTGCTACTCACCCAGTCCACAATGAGGATCTTGCCCACTCCCAGTTTCTGTTGCAGCAGCTTGGCTGTGATGGCTACTGAATTAAAGAAACAAAACCCCCTGTTCCAGCAAAACACACGTAGAGAAAGAGCGGTACAGACTGTTAGTCATCACCAAAATGTGCCGTAGTGAAATATGCAGTGGCGTAACAATGAGCTTAGGGCTGTACTCACATGGCAGTGGATTCCTCAGCGTGGTGACCCGGTGGACGCACCACTGCGAAGCCGTTCTGGCACAAAAACAAAAACAGACACAGAGGGAAGGACAGGTCAGACAGTGCGTTTACTTTCAGGAAAGCTTGCACACTCGTGAGTATTTGCGCGTTACCTTCAGCTCCCCTGCCGCCACTCTGAAGGCCAGCTCGATGACGGAGCCGACTGCCATGCGGACTGCAGCCGACGAGTGCATCTCATTCCACACGGTGTCGCTGTCCACCTGCGGGGGGGGGGTCACAGAGCTCAGACCACAGCTAAAACACTGATACACAGACAGATGGATGGAGTAAAGAGATGGCCTCACCCCGATTCCTCCACAAGGAAGAACGGCATACATCTTCTGGCTAATTGGACCTGAAACAACCAATCAGAGTAGAGGTTATTGTGGTGTGTAAATTAGGATGATTACATATTAATACAGGACAGCACTTGTTCACAGTGGTGATCATTGCAGCTCCCTGTACGCTGGGAATACTCAGTCATCCCTGTCCTGCCTGCAACTGGTCCAGAACGCCGCAGCCATCACCTCTCCACTGGCTGAATTTATAAACTCCTTCATGGGTTGGCCCCTTCCTATACTGCAGACCTCCTGACCCATTATTCTACATCCAGGTCCCTCGGGTCGGCTGACTTGGGGCTCCTGGCTGTCCCGCATTCCAAACTTAGGCTCAGGGTTGCTCTTGCTGCTCCTGAACTGTGGAACAGCATCCCCCCTCATATCAGATCTGCCTCTTCCAATGGTAATTTTAAGGCCAGGCTCAAAACATGCTTTTATTCTGTAATGGCTGATTTCTTGCCTGGTGCTCTGTGTTGTTTATCTGTACCTGTGAGCTGTGTGCAGTGAGTTTTATGTCCAAGTTTCTCTTTATTTGTGTTTCTCTTAATTGTGATTGTCTCTACCTGCTCTGGTCTGTACAGAACTTTGGTCACACAGATACTAATTTGAATGCAGAATTTGAGTATTTTACACTCTAATATGGTACTTTCACTCTAGGTTCTCAGTACTTCTCCACCACTTCTCATCATAGAGCACTTGGCTGCATCCCACCAAGGTGTTTTTGACTTTTCTGCTCAGTTTTCAGAAGTGCAAGTCTGTTACATGCTGGCTTTATCCAAACAAATCCAACAAACTGACAGCATTAGATTTGACAGTCTTAGTCTTAGCTGCAGAGGTAAGAGAGCAGTCAGTCAGACAGACAGACAGACAGACAGACAGACAGACAGGTAGGTACCCAGCAGCTTCTTGTGGTCCAGCTTGTGTCGATTCAGCGGACTGGTTCCATACAGCAGAGTGTGGAACTCTGAATGGACGGACTGGATCTCATCCAGAGACGCTTTACGCCCACGAATCCTCTGCTCACACACACAGACGGAGAGAGAGACTGAGTAAGGAGGTTGCACATTTTAAATTTGCACGTAAGAAAAAAGATAACAGAACGGTTAATTTGGCAATTGCTAGAATTACGAAAGACCTGTAAAAAAAGAAGCTGTTATAGATGACATGGACAATGAAACTTCAGCGTACAGACGCAGGGAAGATTTACAGTAAGCGATGATAACACAAGATCTGCTAACTCCACTCGCTTTCTCTGGGAGGGGACTGTTGGCAGTTTGTTGCAGTGCATGCTGGGATAGCCTGCAGTGTGTGCACAAACCGTGACATTACATCATTGTGGGCGTAGCTCTCCTGTGAGTACAAAGGTCCTGTTTGCAAAGTGTGTGTGTGTGTGTGTGCGTGTGTGTGCGTGTGTGTGCGTGTGTGTGCGCGCATGTGAATACCTCACAGCGG